ACTTTTTTGTATTTTTAGTAGAGTCGGAGTTTCACCATGTTAGCCAGGATGGTCTTGATCTTCTGACCTTGTGATCCACCCGCCTCGGCTTCCCAAAGTGCTGGGATTACAGGCGTGAGCCATCACACCTGGCCTGAGTATCTTTCAGTTTCTATTTGGTGGCTCTAACTCCCAGAATACACTTAGATAGGGAAGCTTAGTGTTTTCTGTGTGTATCTGTGTTTGAGGGTAAGGAGCAATTATAGGGTATTGAGTCCTAGAAAGCACAGTCTTCAAGAATAAAGATTCCAGTTGACATGGGTAGAGAAGTGCATTCTGGAGACAGTACATTCTGGGGACTGTTGTGTTTTCTACACCTTCATTTATGGCACACTCCTGGAATGGGGTCAGAATCAGGCAGTGAGGGTTGGATGATCCTATCTCAGCCCAGCATAGCTGTATGAGATAAAAGCTTCCCAGTAGCACTGGGAGCACTGGGCTAGGGGCTCTGCATATTCTCTTGGCCAGTTGTAGATCTGAGAATGGCATGTTACCTATGTCCATGGGAGTAGAGAAGGGGACCAATGGTAATCTATGCACCCTTGCTGGCAAATACCAAGAGGCCTTTGAACAAATTCTGCAAAATAAGAGAAAAGGGAATATCATTCTAAAAGTTCAGAGAAAGAACGAATCTTTGAAGATGACTGCCAGTGGAAACCACAAGAATTCAAGTGGGCAGTTGAGGCTACTTATCAGTTAAGATGTTACAATGGTGGGAGGTAGACTATGACTGAAAAGAATCACGGCATCTCAGCGTTACAAGGGATTTCAGAAGTCTTCCGTTCAACCCTCTCAACTCCACAGCAACTAAGTAAGCAGTCAGAAAGCCCATGTTTGAATCCCCCCGACTTATCTAGAAGTCATTACGCATTACATGGTGAAACAATTCACTTCATTTTTACAGAGTCCTAATTTTTAGAATGCTATTTTTTATCCGCAGCAACATTTAACACTCTGTACTTTCTATTCCTGAGTTCTGTCCTGTGGAGCCACATGGAATAATCCCAATATTTCTTTTAAAAGGTAGACTCTTTCAAGAGATGGATGTTTCTTTCAAGACATAGACCTTCAAGTACAATAGTATCATATCTACCTCCCAAGGTGTGTTTTTCAGTTGTCCCTAGGGATACTAGCAGAACTGTGAATATATCCATATAAGCACACTATGCTAGATTCGAGAATCTCACATGCAATACTACCAACTGCAACAATAGTAAATACACTCTTGGTCAGCATCCCTACTTACAGAATAGAAATCAGAACACCCCCAACTACCATACATATTCTTTTACACAGCTCCAGGAACCCCTGATTAATGACCTCCACTTGCAAAGGAGGCTACTTACCTTAACCATGAAATAATGAATGCTATTGATCCAACAAGCTACTGCTATAGAGTGTTATTGATCACCCAATCTTTGGTTAAAACGGTCCTCATTTAGCAATTTCACTGTCACAAACACCTGGAGCAAAGCATACTCATAATTAAAGAGTTTGGGGGAGTTAAAGTGAGAGGTGATGGACAGAGATCTCAGCTTTCTCCCATTTATTCTTGCTTCTGAGCTATTGTTTGTGTCAGAAGGGATATTGATTTTCTATAAAAATAAGAAAACAAGAGGCACCAAGGGGCCGCAGAAGGTCAGCCTGGGCTGGAGAAGGAGGGGGTAGGTTTAGCACTCTATCTCTGTCACTTGCCTTCCAAGAGAGGAGAATATTTTCTTTCCTGTGAGATCAGCCTCTAATACATCACCTTAGGAAGGCTCCTGAATGTGACTTCTGGCCATCACCCAACCAATTCACTTATGAAAAAAAAAGAAGCTATACTATATTCAAGGGGAACAAACAAATGATGTGTTAGTAAAGAATAGAGCAAAATTAGGCTACAGTCACCTAATAGCTAACAGCTACTAATAGCTGCTATATAGACAATTTAAATAAAGATCAGTAGAAAATAATTTTACAGTAATTGTTCTACTTTAGAATACGCATAAATACACATACACAGAAAAATATTAAAATAAGTTTGATCTCTATGCAAGCAGGAAAAAACTATTATACCATAACCATTTTTAGTTCCTCAAAACTTGTGAGGGATTGGCTGGTGTAATATTAAAGGAAGACCAGAAACAGAAAAGCAAACAAATATTGATGAAGTCTATAACTACTCCATGTTTAGTTCACGAACAGTGAGTTTAAGGAAATTAGAAATAGGCTGATTGAGACATACATTTTCAAATCCAAAACACCTAAAACATGCTTTTAAAAAAAAAACCCAAAAACTCTACCATTGACCAGGCTAAGCTAAACTTAACAATCAACTTCATCTTAATAATCTTACAACATGGATCATTACTCTGACAACCCTCAATATCACTACTAAAAAGTAAAATTCTACATTTTGATCTGTATAGGAACAGTGGCACATCCAAGTAGATTTATGAAAGGGTAACCAAGAAGATTCTTGAAAGTATTTCTTTTAAAAATGCAGGGGAAACAAAAAAGTAGAAAATTATTGACAGAATCAACAAACTGACCAAGACAGTATAATATCCAAATCATAAACTATTATCTACTTACACTCTAATGCTAGCCCTTTTTAAAGGTGTGCCTAACAATTAAGGGAGATTTTAGTTCCACTCTCCTCTTGAAGAGAGGCTGAACACAACATGCAGTCAAAGAGTAAGAATCACCCCCTCTCCCACAGAATGGATTTAGGGGGAAAAAATACAAAGCACTCCTGTTTGTAACTACAGATGAATCGAGACAAGTCAAGGGGAATTTAGAACTCCTAAATAACTAGAAGATTTTAAAGAACTTTCCTCATGCCATGTGTGCCACCACTCCGCCCATTATTCCTTCACAGCTACAAGCGCTTTAGCATCTACATATTGAAAGAACTCTCAAGTGAGGGGCCAGGGTAATAGCCCAAATGGGTGAATGAGGTCTCCTCAATTTGAAAAGAGGAAGAATTTCACAAGAATTCCCATCCACTTAATTTTATCCAGACTCTCAGGTAACGAGAATTTATATTATTACATCCTGACTAGAATGTGCAATAGATGTGTCTGGAGTAAGAAGGAACAGAAAAGAGTGAAGCATCTCATGCTAGATTATAGGCTCTGCATCTGGAGCCACACTTGAGCTGTTATCTCAGAGCAGACAGAGTTAACAGTCTCTCTTTCACATACAGTTATGTCATAGTTTAATAAGAAATTATGGGGAAGAAACATACACAAAGCTATTATCCCAAAAGGCTACTGTTAAAATCACCATTCTCAATACTAAGAAGAATTCTATTTGGTATATATGCTCAATATTAAAACAAACTTGAATATCTCAGTAGAGGGTTTCAATAGTGTGAAAGGCTACAAGTTGACTAAGCATTTCTTGTTTGATTAAAAATAGTCTGATGAGGAAAATAAATACCTTTATAATCCAAATATATACATATAAATTCTGTAAATAGACCTTAGAAGGAAGGAGGCATTAGAGGAAAATTAGGAAAGTCAAAATATGAGCCCATCTCAATATAGTCTGCAGACTGGCAAATATAAAGTTAATAAGAAAAAGTTTAAAAGCTGGATTAAAAACCATCCATGAAAGGTACAGGTAAACAGACCTAAGCAGCTTTTCCTGTTACTGACACAGCCTCACCTCAGAGTTCCTAAGATTAATGTCTTTGTTTTTAAGATAAACTTCAGAAAGGTCATCTGTTCTACAGCTGGGAAAGTTAAATTGAGACAGAACAACTCAAAGGGCAGCAGAACGTGGTGGTTACGAATGAGCTTTGGAATCAGGCTTGATTCCCCGTTTTGGCACTGGGTGACCTTAGGCAAATTATGTAAGCTCTTATAACCTCAGCTTCCCTTCTATAAATACAAATAGTGGTATCCACCATATAGTGGAATTGTGAACATTAAATAAGAGTATATGTTAAGTCCATAGTACAGTGCCTGGCCCATAGTTAAGTGCTTAATAAATGTCAACTAATATTAACAATAATAGAATACACTGGTTCTCAACAGGGAGTACTCAATCCACCTAGGGATCACCCCTGGAGGCTTTTGGGTTGATACAATGAAAAGGGGGTGTGAACAATGCAGAGATGCTAAATATTCTGCAATGCACCATAAAGAATTGTCCCATCCAAAACACCAATGGCATCCTCGCTATTAAGTAAAAGATAATCACAGATTAGGATTAATAACATTAAAGTATCAAGCTGGGGGGTATCAATGTTCCTAGGACTATCTGAGATGTAAAAGCTAAAAAATGTCACCAAAACTACACTTACATTTCTAAACACGTACCCATTAGAGACAAATTTTTCTGGCTTGATCACATCTGATGTAAGACTAATGGGACTCAGTACTGTTATTTTCAAAGCCTACCATGTGTTCAGACAATTTGAATGTCAGCCATAAAAAAATAAATTCAATATAGTCAAACCACGAGTAGCAGAAAACAAAATTATAGCCAAAAAGTATCTAAAGTCATGATTCTTAATGAGGACAGGCAACTTAACGGAACATTTATAAACTCCATATGCCTGGTGCTAACATTTTCTCTTTCTCACACACACATGTACACACACGCGCGCACACACACACACACACACACACCAGCCTCTGCTGAGACCTGAGTTCTAAAAAACAATATTTATGTACAAACTACATGGCATAATAAGCAACAAATTGTTTTTTAAAATTATTAGCTGTGCATTTGAGGTACGCATTTTAAACAGTTTTTAGAAACAACTGTTTCTATAGCCTTCCTGACAGAGGGAAATAGACACTTGAATGGTACCTTAAAAAGCTAAACTACTGACTGATTCAAGGAAGTCTTCAAAGTCAATACCACAGTGGCTGGTTTGAAAGAAGGTAGAACCCACTAAGACTGCGGATGTGTACCTTGGGAAACATTAACCAGGAAAATCTTTGACTTAGTAAGGGAGATCTCACCATTCTGACATGTTCTCATCAGAGCCCTGTTTTTGTTCATCTGTTTCACACTCCATCCTTTCTTTCCTTCCTGCTTTGCTTAGGAAAGTCCTGTTTTCTGCTGATTCACACAATCCGTGGCCTGATGAGGTCCAGGGAGTATTCTCCTTCCAGCGGGACAGACGCTGCTTCTTAGCAGATTTGAACCTGCAGCCTCTCTCATAGCTCCAATCTGACACCTTCAGTTTCTGCTGCAGGCTAGCAGCCACCTCTGATGTCACTCGCTTCACCTTCCGCCTGCGCCTGAGTGGTCGACAAGGTGCATTTTCAGTAAAGGAGTCAGATTCATGCCAAGAATGCTGCTTACTCTTAACAATGGCATTGAGAGCTGGGTGTCGTTTGGCCACCATTGTGTCATCAGAGTCACTAAAATTGGTCACGGGAGCCACTTCTCGACAGTCCTTAGTGGCCTCATCCAGACTTGACTCAGAGGCCTCGCTGTAGCAGCAGGTATGCTCTGCCAGGTGAGTGAAGTCAGAACGACGCTTCCGACCTCGGCGTTTCCGAAGCTGCCTCCTCTGCTGCCGGGGGCTCAGGGCCATCTCCTCCCACAGCTCACCAAGCTTATTCTGCTCAGATGTCTGCTCCAAGGCTGAGGCTAAGTCGTGTACCAGCTCATCCATGAGGCCACATCTGCCAACAGGAAGTTTGGCGGGGGGTGGGGGGGAGAAAGAAAAGAAAAAGAAAAAGAAAAAGAAAGCCTGAAAAGGATCTGTTGTTTCGGAATAATTTGATGAAACAGATCATGGTAGTCCACAGTACTGCCTGTCTAAATGAAATAAGTCACCTTTCATCTGGCTACACTTAGATTCTGTTCCTACCACTTCCTAAAGCCACTAAAAATAGATGTTTTGTCCCTTGTTAAACGCCTGAAGTCAACATATTCTTAAGCACAAAAACCTACTCACCAGATGACAACTGGGACAGGACCCAAAACAAATTCGGGGTACTAGATCCTTCTCACTTTTCCCCAATTAAACTTGTCACTGAATTACCTAATGATGAGATCCAGAAAGATTAGAGACTGTCTCACTAGACAGGAGTAGAAAAACATACAACTTCGAAATCACACTAGAGTTGCAGAAACACAGAGCAGGACACGGTCTCATCGAGGTATTGAGAATGAATGAAAAACTGTTCTTTGGCCTGGGGTCACTGCTGACAATGACCATGGCAGAAAGAAACAGAAAGACAACTTAGTGATACCCTTTAAGGAAGAATGCAGTTTTCATGATCCAAGAAATTGTAGTGGCCCAGGTTTGAAGTCAGAATGGAGAAGAGACTAAGTTTGCACCCATTCTGGTACCAACTACCACCTGGAAGCTACCAGGTATAGAACCTTATACAGTAGGTCATATGTTTTTGAATAATTAACAATTTTTAAGCCCCTCTCCTACTCTTCAGAAAATAAATGTCCGAATGTCTGTCCTAGTTATGTGCTTCAGTGCCACACAATCACACAAAAATAGGATACAACAGCAGCTGAAATGACAGGGATAGGGTGAAGTTTCTAAGATTTCTGGCTGAACTGCTTTCCAAAATTTCTTATTTTTCTGTTTATCCTCAAACCAAACATCACACTTCAGGAGTCACTTCAGAGGCAAACATTTCAACAAAAGAGAGTAGTAGGAACAATCTTCAAAATTCCCTCTTAAGGGGAAATGTTTAATTTGTATAGCAGCTAATTAAATACACATTAAACTTTTAGCACTTTTCCCTTGCCTCTATGCCGAAAGTATTTCAATATCATGTTAAAATTCTATGTGGTGCCGCTCTCTCACCATATTCCCATTCATTCAGTTTTCACTTTGCAAAGGGCTTTCTAAAACCTGTTTTCACGCTGTGCCTATGCCAATGAATTTAAAGACAGGAAAACAGTCCTGGGGCTTATCTGCCACACCTGTAGGAGCAATGGTGACACCTACTTCCAAAACTACCATACAAACGAAGCTTCTCAAAGTGTCCAAAGGCACATACATTTAAACAAGACCAAGTTCTTTTAAGCATTAAGAAGTGATTTATTAATACTTGTGAAAAGAAGGGAAAAAAATGGAAAAAAAAAAAAAAAGTGGATTAAAATGCCATGATTGAGGTTTGGGAGACAACTGTCCCTAAGACCAAAATAAAGAAACAAGTGGGAACAGCATGCCTAAATCTACTTCCCTAATAAAGAATTACTGCTTTAAAAACTCAGGCAACTAAAATACAAAAAAAAATAATAATAACAAATAAAAACCTCAGGCAGAATAGCACAAACTTGAACACGGAACGAAGTCACCAAACAACTCGTAGTCGAATGCTTGTGCAGAATCCTTTCCTGCCTCAAAGCCTGTAATTCGAACAGTGGGTGACAGAAGAACCCTAGGGCTCCCCCCATCTCCAGTCGCGGGTGCACACTCTCGAGAGGACCCGGCGTCCAGGCACGCACCCGGGTAGAGATGAGGCTGAGTCACGCACAGGAAGGAACGGGTAGGGCAGCTGGTGGACAGCAAGTAAGAAGAGAAACAGGAGCAGGGTGGAAGTGAGGGGCGGAGTAGGAGGTGGGAGAGGCAGGAGGCAACTTCTCATTTGGGCTCACCAGGGGCGGGGGTCGGCTCTTCTAGGGCAGAAACTGAAAAAATGCAAGTCGTGGCGACTGAGCTCCCTCCGGGATCGGGGGTCGCAACACGGCCACATATGTGAGAAAAACTGTGTTTCGAAGGACTCTCCACCTCGCCCCGGCCCGTCCCTGAGGGCTGGGGCGACCATGGCTCGGGACACCAAGCCCTCACGCTGCCGCCAGCCCCAGAGAGGCAGAAAGAAGAAAGAGGAAGAGGGGGCTGTGGCCCCGAAGACGGCCCGACCCACATCCCCAGGGATGGGGACAAGGGCCCTGAAAAGCAAGGCCCCACCACCCTCACCCTCCGGCCAGCTGCCGCAGCCCCAAGACGCCCTTAGCCGCTCAGCCGCTGCTTGGCGCTCCGATCCCCTCTGGTACTAGCCCCCAGGACCCCAACACTCTCAACCCACTCCTCCCCCTCACCAGCTGCCGCAGCCACCTCCAACGGCCGCCGCTTTTTGGGCCGACTCTCACCGCCAGGGCTTCCCTCTCTGACCTCATTTCCGGTCTGGGCCGGAGGGGTGGGGCGGCGGCGAGTGGGAGGGGCTGGCTGCAAGATTGGGCCCCTGACCCATTGCTTCCGCCCGTGGCCACACCCACTTCCGCCCCGTGGTGGGCGGAGCCACAGGAAGCCAGAAGATGGGGCAGGGGACAAGGAGGGGTGCTGAGTAAGGTCTGGCCGGGAAAGGGCGTTTCACGGGTTGAGGTGCCCATGTGGGGAAAGACCCCTGCATGCTGGCCTCATCTTCCTTAGGGGCGTCCAGAAATTGGGCGCTAGGCAGGGGTGTCAGCTTCCCCCTTGCTTTCTGACCTTTTTAATGGGCCTATGAAGTTGAAGAGAAAAGGATCTTAATGACGTCTACCTTGTGAGCTGGTACAAACATTGGGAGGGGTGGTTCTTCACTTAGTTACTCAGAACATTACAAATTGCCTTGAGCAATAAAACAAGTTATATTGGATTATAACTCAAAGTATAAAAGAAATATTCATGAGCCCATACCGATATAAATAAGTGATTGAATAAATTAACGAATGAGGAAGAAGAGAGAAATCCCCCACAGAAGAATCTCAAATAACTTATGTAGACAGCCATCCTGGAGCATAACTTCCACCTCCTTAAATGTGGGCTGTGCGTAGTGACTTCCTTCCCAAAAGTACAACATCTGTAAAGGGGAAAATGAGTGATTTTACAGTGGGGAAACCTGGCAAACAGTAATTCAGCCAGGTGATCAAGACTATGTGCTAAATCATGTTGATAGTATGTGGACTGATACATGATGAGAATGGCACTTTATGCTACTTTCCTAACAAATCTCATAACCCAGTCTAATTATAAGAAACAACTCAGACAAACCCTAATTCAGGGACATTCTGCAGAGTACATGACCAGTATTCTTCAAAATTGTTAAGATCAGCAAAGGTAAGGGAAGTATAAGAAACTCAGAGCCAGGAGAAGCCTGAGGAGGCATGACAATGTAATACGGTATCCTGGGTGTGACACTGCAATTAAAAAAAGAACATTAGGTAAAAACTAAGGAAATCTGGATAAAGTATCAACTTTAGTTAATAATAACGTTATCAGGCCGGGCGAGGCGGCTTATGCCTGTAATCCCAGCACTTTGGGAGGCCAAGTTGGGCAGATCTCCTGAGGTCGGGGGATTGAGACCATCCTGGCTAACATGGTGAAAACCCGTCTCTGCTAAAAATGCAAAAATTACACGGGCATGGTGGTGCGTGCCTGTAATCCCAGCTACTCAGGAGGCTGAGGCAGGAGAATCGCTTGAACTCTGGAGGCGGAAGTTGCAGTGAGCCAAGATCACACTATTGCACTCCAGCCTGGGTCATGAGAGCAAAACTCCGTCTCAAAATAATAATAATAATGTATCAATTTTGGTTGCAATCGTGACGTGTGTTATACTTCTGTAAGGGTGAATAGCCGGGTGCGGTGGCTCACACCTGTAATCCCAGCACTTTGGGAGGTTGAGGTGGGCAGATCACCTGAGGTCAGGAGTTCGAGACCATCCTGGCCAACATGGTGAAACCCTGTCTCTACTAAAAATACAAAAAGTTAGCTGGGCATGGTGGCACACGCCTGTAGTCCCAGTCCCTACTCGGGAGGCTAAGGCAAGAGAATCGCCTGAGTCCAGGAGGCAGAGGTTGCAGTGAGCAGAGATCAAGCCACTGCACTCCAGCCTGGGCGACAGAGCAAGACTCCATCACAAAAAAAAAAAAAGTGAATAATAGGGGAAATGGTGTGGATTATACAGAAACTGTAGTATCTTTATAATTTTTCTCTAAACCTAAAACTATCCTAAAATAAAAAGTTTATTTAAAAATATGCACATACCTTGGACCCAGAAATTTTGCCCTGAAGAACTGTATTCTAAGGAAAAATTGGAAATGGGCACAAAAATGTCAAATATAGGTAAATCATCTCTGTAGCATTTCTGAGGGAGAGATGAGGAAACTAGAAAAAGCCAGAAGTTCCACAACAGGGGTTAGTTAACTAAATTATGGTACGTCAGTGGGTGGAATACCTTGCAAATTTTTAAAATTGATGTTGCAAAAGAATATTTAATGACATGAAAAGCCATCGACTTATGATTGTGTACATTTCTGCATGACTGTTACACTTCAATAAAAAGATTACTCTGAAAATGTAGAGTATGATTCCCGTACAAAGGAAATTAAATCTATACTCGCATAGGAGTATGACCAGAAGAATTTACTACACAATATCAGAAATGATTTCATTATTAATGATTATATCTCCTATCTGTTGTTTTTTTGTGGATTTTCAGAATTTTCTATAGGTGAAAAAAAGTCAATGTAGGAGACAAAGATAGTTGAGGTTTCGAGCTAGGGCAACTAAGACAATGGTCAGTGCCATCTGCATAGCTAGAGAAGTCAAGAAGATAAACGAGTTTAGTGGAAAGATGATTAATTCCATTTTGGACATGCTGAATTTGTGACTCCCACAGGACAGAAATACAGAAATGTTCAACAGGTGTCCACGGCCATCAGGCCTCTTTTCTGCATGAGTGAAAATTCTCTCCCACAAATCACATCTGTTCCCACAGTGTTGGTTGCCTGCATCAGCACTGAAAGCTCCCAAGTTTCTTGAAATCCAACTTATATTTTCATCTTTCTACTAGATATCTCCACTTGTTCACCTCACCAGCATTTCCCATTTAAAATGTCAAAATAGGCCAGGTATAGTGGCTCACGCCTGTAATCCCAGCACTTTGGGAGGCTGAGGCAGGTGGATCACTTGAGTTCAGGAGTTGAGACTAGCCTGGCCAACATGGTGAAACCCTGTCTTTACTAAAAATGCAAAAAATTAGGCAGGTGTGGTGGCATGTGCCTGTAATCCCAGCTACTGGGAAGACTGAGGCAGGAGGATCACTTTAGTCCGGGAGGCAGAGGTTGTAGTGAGCTGAGAGCACGCTGTTCCACTCCAGCCTAGTGACAGGAGTGAAACCCTATGTCAAAAATAAATGAATGAATAAATAAAATAAAATGCCAAAAATAAAAATAAAGCTTAGTTTCTTCCATAGTTTCTTCCTTTCTTCCCTCTCTCCATTCCTTTTTTTTTTTTTTTTTTTCCAGACAGGGTCTCTGTGAAATGGAAGACAGAGTGAGACACTATCTCAAAAAAAAAAAGGAAATGGTCTCAAAAATGTTAAATACAGGTTAAATTATTCTCTACAGCATTTCTGAGGGAGGACTGAGGAAACTAGAAAAAGTCAGAAATTCTACAACAGGGATTAGTTAAGTAAAAGATGATACACCTATGGACGGAACACCGTGACATGATCATTACCTCACTGCAGCCTTGACCTCCTGTGCTCAAGTAATCCTCCCACCTCAGCACCCTAAGTAGCTGGGACTACAGGCACACACCACCATGCCCAGCTAATTTTTAAATGTTTAGTAGAGAGATAGGGTCTCCACTATGTTGCCCAGGCTGGTCTCGAACTCCTACCATCAAGTGATCCTCCTGCCTCAGCCTCCTAGAGTGCTGGGATTACAGGTGTGAGCCATCTTGTCCAGCCTCTTCCATAGTTTCTGTCAAACCTGCCCCTTCTCCACTGTTCACTCTTTTGGAAATATCACCACCATCATGCAGTTACCCAGGTGAGAAGCTTCAAACCCATTTTTAGTTCTTGTTTCTTTCTTTTACCCCTTTATCTAGTAAAGTGCTAAGCCTCGTAGATTGCACTCCTGCAGTAGTCTTGCATCCGTCCTCCCTCACTGGTTTTTGCTCTGCCATTGGCCTCATCTGGGCAGGCAGCCACTCTTCTGGATGATGCAGCAGCTGCTGCCTTACTGGTCTTCCCACTTGCAGTCTGTCCCCCCAAAATGTCATCCTCTACACAGGCACCACAGTGAGTTTCCTAAAACACAATTTTAATCGTGTCACTTCATCCATCTTCCACTACCTCCTGCAACATGCTTGAGCACACCATATCACTTGCTAGTTCTTGAACACCCTTGGGATCTGGGGTGATTTAAACGCTCAATTCCAATGTCACCTCAATAAAGACACTTACCCTTGCTTGCCCACTCCTTTGGCTCTCACGCTCAGTACTTGCCAGTACCTTTATGACCGCACTCTCTTCATTCAACCTGAACTAGAGCCAGTTATGTGCAAGTTTGCCTCCCCAACTAAGTCACTCATTCAACAAATATTTACTAAGCATCTACAGTATGCCTTGCCATGTGCTTATACGTATATAATTGTGTGAACAAAACCAAAGCCCTTTTTGCTTTGCCCTGAAGACCCTGTCCTATTCATTGTATTCTCATCAGTGCCTAGCACAGTGCTTTACACATGGTAGGTGCTCCATAGTTATTGTTGATTAAAAATTAAATGAATACTTGTTTACTAAATGCTGGGTCAGGGACATTAGAAGTGTTTGTCTCAGTCCCATGAGAAAATTGTAATGAAACTTGCACCTTCATGGGATGGTGGAATCCATGGGCAGAATCACATAATGAAAGAGGGTGACGAGAGAAGTGGCCTGTTGGGGAAGAAGAGGATAGCTCCAAAGAGACTGAGAGCATCTGAAGAGAACCTGTGTCTAAAAGCCAGAGGAGAGAGAGCTTTAAGAAAATGAAGAACAAAAGGAAGTTTGAGGATGAACAGTTCTAAGGAAAGGCCACCACACTTGGCAACTGAGGAGGTCACTGATGGTAATAAGGTTTGAGCAGGTTGCAAGCAGGCAGCAGTGGAGGAGGGGGAAGGAGGTGAAGGATGAAGCCCTAGCTGCCTGACTGTGTCCAGAGCTAGCAGCTTCACCTCTTTTTTTTTTTTTTTTTGAGACGGAGTCTCGCGCTGTGTCACCCAGGCTGGAGTGCAGTGGCGCGATCTCGGCTCACTGCAAGCTCCGCCTCCCAGGTTCACGCCATTCTCCTGCCTCAGCCTCCGAGTAGCTGGGACTACAGGCGCCCGCCACCTCGCCCGGCTAGT